GGAGGAACAGGAGAAAGACGAGTGAATAAAAAAGGAATAAAACAGAGAGGCATGAGGTAGGGAACAAGGAAGGAATAAAACAAGAAGAGATGTAATAGAGGGAGGAATAAATTGAGGAGAGGCATGAGTGAGTGAGTGAGTGAATGTAGGAGGAACAAAAACGGGAAGAGGCGCAAGTGAGAAAGTGAGGGAGGGGAAAACGAGGAAAGAGTGAGAAACAAAAGGAGAATAGATGAAAGTTAAGATAGGAACAAAAAATAGAGCATTGGTAATAGGGGAAGAAATGAGAGTAGAAGAGATGCCAGTGAGGGAGGAATAGATGAAAAAAAAAATTAAGAAAAGCCAATTAAAAGGAAAGAAAAAAAAAGGTAAAAGCTGGAATGAAAATGATTAAAAGAAAGAAAAAAAAAAAGGAAGAAAAGCAGGAAAGGAATAGGAAAAAAAGTTTTTAAAAAATGATAGAAAAAAAGAAATTGCAAAAGCAGAAGACAATCAACTGATGATTATTATTAATATGATGATGATTGCTAATTGTTATTTTGTAAATTTTACAAGATTAGCCATCTTGTTTGAAATCACCATCAGAACTATAATTAAATAGATCTAAATAACTGGATTTTAATTAGTGAAGTGAAATTCGGCTCATATCAAATTACTGTTGAGATTTTAAAAACTGTTTAAAGACATTTATTTTTTAGGTTTTCAAAAACTAAAAAATAGTTTACTTACCCTGGCCTCATATTCCAAGAATTTCTTTAGTGTATTTGATCACAGTATAAAAAAAAAAAAATAAACATTGCATTAATGAAACAATAAGTGACATAGACTAATCTTCTATTATTTTAATTTACATCGTATTTTTTTTTTTTTTTTTTTTTTTTTTTTTTAATCGTTTCATCTCAAATAAGGTGATATTGCCACCAAGACAGAAGGGATTACTGGGAGTGAAAGAGAATGAGAAGACATTTGAAGGAACTCAAAACCCAATCCTAAACAGGAAATAAAGGATAAACCTCTACTCCTGTTCAATAGATAGAGAAGGAGTATGAACAGTTGTGCTTTAGTGTTCATTAGAATGCTTGACCATGACAACATAAAAGAAAAATTTCCACAATGGATAATTTTTTCACTTTTTAATGAACTATAAAGCATAACTATCAGCCATTGCATTTAAATGCAAAAAGAAAAAAATTTAGTAATGGATAGCCACACATAGTTTTTGTCTTACCAGTTTGCACCCCTGATGATGATCTCAGAAAAAGATGGGAAGTAGTTGGGGAAATAAAAGTGATTCTCACTGTTATAATGTATTTCTTGCCTCATTTGATTGTAATACACAGAAAATATTCGTAAATATTAATGGATCATGTTAAAATAAGCAGACATAATGTTTGTAATTTATTTAATCAGACATGCCTAAAAGAGAATTTTCTGCCTAAATACACAAGATATATATATATATATATATATATATATATATATATATATATATATATATTTATTAGGAGTAGATTGTACTCCTGTTGAAAATAAATAAAAAAATAAGTAAGAAAAAAAAAAATAAGAGGATTTTTTTTAAATAAAGAGTGAACTAAAATATATTGAATAATTTTTACCAGATGAAAATTTAATGTCATTTAACCCAGCAATAAAATCTGGTATTAATTATATAAACTAGAAATACCCATGAAAATTTAACAGTTTCCCTATTAATCTTAGTTCTTAAGTTAATAATTGAATAAGGTCATGGTGAGTTTTATGACAATAAAATATCCATAGAAGATTCTCCTATCACATCTTTAAATATTTGGGCTTAACAACTTTAACAAAATATTGCAATAACAATCCTAAATATGAATGCTGGTTGTTATTTTAAGAAGTAAGGGGGTACAAATGAAAATATTAGAAATTGACAACTTTTTTCTATTACACTGAAACAGACATTAAACACTTATTTCTTCCCTTCTTTCTTTCTTTCATTTTCAGACTGAAACCAAGTAGCGTCTCTGATATGTTCTTTCTGCCTTTCCACAGAATCAAAACGAAATAGTCCATTGACAGGACGTAACAGTCATGCTAAGGAAGGGACAAGAAGAATTACAATAAGATTAAAATGAATTATAGCTCTCTAAACAAATCCAATATTAGTTAAAGGTTTCTTAGAAAACAATCCTCTATTAATTATAGGTTCCTCTTAAGAGCCCATGAGTGCCCACAGACTCAAAACTGGGATTTGGAGTATTAAGGGGATAAAAATTATTTATTTGAGAGTACTTGAATATACTTCTAAAATATACAGAAGTATCATTTTACTAACTTCTGGGTACAAGAAGAGAAGATATCAAAGAAAATAAGAAAAATAGATTGACAATTTCTTTCTGAAACTTACTTAGTACACATGCATACATACATGTACATGTATACACACACACTAATATATATATATATATATATATATATATATATATATATATACACACACATAATATATATATATATATATATATATATATATATATATATATATATATATATATACACACATACACAATATATATATATATATATATATATATATATATATACATATATATATATATATATACAAGAGTGTACTGAAAAAATTCTCCGCCCACCTAAGAAGAGATTAAAAAAGAAACTGATATTTAATCAGATTTTGTGAAGCAGGTTGAGCTGAGATCTTTTCAGCAACTCCTCTTATATAAAAATTTCTGAACCCATTTATAAATATAACTGAAATTAATAAAAGACTTATCATTGTTACTATAGACAGCTGAGGAAAGCCACAAGCTACAGTAGCCAAAACGTGACAACAAAAAAAACAAAGTCAAACAAACTGGTTTCAATGAAAAGTAAACAAAATCTTATTTTGGAAACTCAAACAAAAATAGCAAATGTTTGTCTGCAATATTTTCTTCTGGCTGTTCTCTGCACCGAAAAGTCTAAGAGGTTTCTGTACCGAAATTGGTAATCCTAGAATTGCATAAAAGACAAACACACTGGCTAAAGTTATAATTACTTGGTGTATGAAAAAAATTGGTGTGTCCCCACAAAATTTTGTTTAAAATATGAAACTGAAAAGCAACTTTTTTTTCTTCAAATTTTTTGTCTTTGTTTGAATTTATGGCTTCTTTCATAAAATTTCTCCCTTTTCCTGATGATATATTACTTATTGTGAAATTCCTTTCTTTTTCTCAGTTTGAATTAAAAGTTCATCTACTACATCTTTCTGCAATTAAAATTACGTATAATTTAAAAAAAAATATTCACCACTAAATTAAAATTTGAGGAAAAAATAAAATTAAATAAAACAAATTCTGTATTAAAAATTAAAATTTTTTGGATTTTTCACATTTCCTTCTTTAAAAAGTAAAATAGAAAATTTTTCCAATCTTAGAGTCAACATTTTTTTTTTTTCTTATCAATTTTTTCTTTACCTTTTTTTTTATTCTTTTCAATTTTTCTTTTCCTTTTTATACAGCAAGATTTTAATTATTGCATGTTAAGCTTGGGAATTTCACTTTTAAACAAGGTGTAAATTAAATTTTTTTTAAATACACTTGTGTACATATTTCACATTGTAAAACTAATTAATTCCTTTAATTAATTTACTTAATTACTCAAATATTGTCCTCTTTATTTCTAAAAGAAAAAATACCTAAAAACACATGAGTTTTCATTTGAGTACATTTGTTCATTCTCTTCACACGTCTCAAGAAGAAAAGAAAATAATTGGGCAAACTTCATACCTGTAAAAAAAAATATATATTGACAAAAGGATGTTTTTCCCTTAACACCACTATTATTTTAACTACCTTCACTCCTTCTGTTTATAGTTTTAAAAAATGATGATTAGAATTGTAGTAAAACGAAATCATATGAAAATGAATTTATACACTTTTTGTTCCTATTAAACCCTGTTAGAGTGTTTATTTATAAGAATAATTTTCTATTTATAACATTCTAAAAATTAGTACAATTAAAACTAATGCAATGCAATATTTATCATTTACCAATTTATAAAGAAATAAATATGGAAACATTTTCTTATTCATAAATTTATAAGCATTTACTAAATTATTAAAATACGTGAAAATTGTAAGGAAATCCTTATTTACCATTTTATAAAGTTTGAATCAATTGTTTTGCCAACAATTCCAATAAACAAGCTAATAAGTAAATAGTGTTTATTTTTTGTCATCAATCCTCAAGAACAAAGAAAATGTATAAATTCACAGTTTTATTATGATTCTAATCATCACTTTTTAAAATAATGAAATATTTTTAAAATAATAAAATCGTAGTGGTGTCAAGGGAAACACCTTCCTTTTTATACTCTGTTTATTAATATATCAATTCACTTTCATCTGTTTAGGTTTTATTACGATTCTAAACATCATTTTTTAAAATAATAAACATTTCCAAGGAGTGAAGGTAGTTAAAATGATAGCAGTGTCATGGGAAAAACTGTCCTTTTGACACTCTGTTATTTTGGGGTTTATTTTTTGCAGGCATGAAGGTCCAAGTTTGCCAAAAATGGTATCAGTTTTACTTTTTAAAAAAAAAACCACAGAAAGCCGTGTTTAAGACAATGACAAATGAATTAAAATATTACACCCACCTCCCACAAAAGAAAATAGATATTTTGATAAAAGTACAGTGCTTCTTGCTCTTGTACTGTCCCCAACTTGCTTCACCATGAATAGCCATGTCTTCTTTTATTTAACCATAGATGCCATATTGTAGTTAATGATTGGCAGATGTGTCTTGTTAATCATTACTAGTGAGTTTGTTCCTCACTGGGTACTACACATTTGCTCTGCTTTGTAAATAAATTTGTCTAACAATATAAAAAAAAAAAAAATATGAAAATAAATTTGTCTGAGGGCCCAAATGCTTCAATCAGTTCCATACTTACCATGCAGTGCAGAAAATGTATTCAAAGATTTTGGCCAAAAAAATAAAACTATTTTAGCCAAAGGTGAAAAGGATAATAATAACTTTAATAAACAAACAAGGATGATTTTTTAAAAGATCATTTGACAACAAATGTGCAAAAGAATTGTACAATTTGATGTATTTTGTTTTTCAACTGTTACTCTGCCTTAAATTGTACACAGTATGAAAATACAAATCTTTAATAAGCCAGTGATTTTTTTTTTTTTTTTTTATGCACAACATTTTCTTAATGTTTTCTGTACCTTTCTTTTAAAGATTTTTTTTCTCTTTCAATTCCATAAATATTAACATATTTATTATAAAACAGTCTCCATATTTTCATTGTGTAAATGATTTTCCTTTTTAAAGCCTCTAAAATGTTGTTATGCCACCATACTTTTGAGAAAAAATAATGGTAAAAAAAAATATATGTATGTAACAATTCAATTGCTGTTGTTTTGCTGATATCTCCTGACAAATGGACCAAATGATTACAAAAATGGTTCAACTATGAAACTCTGGAGTTGGGATGCTGAATATAACATCAATCAGCTAAGTGACAAAAGTAATATTTGTATTAATTATATATATATATATATATATAT